TTTTATTTATTTATTTTTTTTTTGGCGGAACCACGGATTGAATTCAGCCCCTTGTGCTTGCCAGGGAAGTGCTTATTCCACTGAGCCATCGCTCTGACCCCTACAATTATTTTATGAAGGTATTATTTTTGCAGATATATAGGGAATTATTTGGGGAGTTACTAGTCTTTTCAGTGATAATGGTTAACATTTTAGATTTATTTTTATTATTTGTGGTGCTGGGAATGGAACCCAGGCTCTGAGTCATACCCCTGAGACCCAGAATTTGATGAACTCAAGTAATTTGGTACCAGAACCACAATTAGTTTACAAAGAAATGGTTTTAAAGATTGAATTTTTAAATTCCTCGCTTGAATCTTAACTTTTTATCTTTTTTCATTGTAAGTAAATTATAACCTAGTCTTTGTGGTTGTTAGTCTACTACCATGGCAACAGTGGTTGTGATGCAACAATTTATATTTTTTTCCATGCCAGCACTTTGTTAGTAAATTTGATTCCTAGTCTGTTTAGTTCTGAATCTTGTAGCAAGCTTTTTTTTTTTTTTTTTTTTTTGAGACAGGGTGTCTCTGTGTAGTTCAGGCTGGCCTTCTACTCACATTGTAGCCCAAGCTGGCCTCAAACTTGTGGTGAGCCTTCTGCCTCAGGCTGCCAAGTACTGGGATTGCAGGCATGTATCACCATGTCCAGCATAAACTTTCTGATATAACTGTGTCTAATATATAGTTGTATTTTTCAAATTTAGTTTTATATCTTGCTAGAAACCTAATTACTATATACTATATAAATTCATTGTTAAACAAATTGCTGGGTAGGTTTAGGCATTTAGTGTCATAGAATTTTTTTTTTTGGTTGTTACAGGGTCTCACTACGCAGCCCAGACTCATGGTAATCCTCATGCTTTCAGCCTCCCCAGTGCTGGGATTATAGGCATGTACCACTAGACTCTGGCCAGTGGCCACTTAGCCTGCCCTGGGGGTGGGGTTGGTGTGGCATGTGGTGCCAGGGTTTGAACCTCAGTCCTTGTACTTGCCTAAGCTTGCCTAAGCAGGTGCTTTAGTCTACTGAATAACTCACTAGCCCTAATGTAGGAATGCTTCTTAATGGCGATTTTTTTTCCCTTCTAACACATCAATATAATTTATAAACTTTACATGTCGAAAAACTGAGCATCGGGCCGGGGAGATGGCTCAGTAAAATAAGTGCTTCCTTGGCAAGGGCAAGGGTCTGAGTTCAATCCCCAGTTCTGCCAAAAAAAACCAAAAAAAACCCCCCAAAAACTGAGCCTATATGTATGCCTTGAAAAGCAAGATTCTAGGGCTGGAGAGATGGCTCAGTGGAATAAGCACTTGCCTGGCAAGCACAGGGACCTGAATTCAATCCCTGGTTCTGCCAAAAAAAAGAAAAAAAAAAAAAAAAAGAAAAGCAAGATTCTAAATTATTATTTTTTTGAGATAGGGTCTTGCTATGTAGTTCACGCTGGCCTCAAACTTGCTAT